CAAAATGGAGGAGTTGTCTGTGGAACAGGGAGAAGATAGGTACAGAGTTGGCCTGTTCTGGGCCCTTTGACAATGACTTCATCTAGTGCAGCTCTTTTATTCAAAGAAGGAATGTGGAAACTGAGGCCCAGAAATTAAGTGGCCTGCCCAGGATCATAGCGCAGGGCCAGGAGTTCTGCTACAAGTCTTTACTTCCCCATACGTCTTTTGAAGTCTTTTGACTTTCGGAAAGGAAGGTCACAGATGTTTTGGAGAGAGTACCCAGGGGACTGTCAGAGTGGCTGCACTCAGGGAAGACAACCTGTTCATTGTTGAACATCCCCACCTCCCATCCCAATTATCTGCCCCATCCTTGGATAAATGCAAAGAATCTAAACTGTGGTGGGCTATTACCTTGTAGTAAGAATGTGGAGACATGGAGGGGTTAGGAGATTTGGGGAATTCTCACTTTAATACAGGCCTCTCTGTTTACCAGATTTGTGAGTTGGGCAAGATACCTAACTTTTCTGGGCCTCAGTTTCCTTTTGTGTAAAAGTGGATAATAGAAGTAACCAACCTTAGGGAGTGGTTTTGATGATTAAATATGTTTAGAACCTGGCACAGAATAAGCATGAATTTTTTAAAATGTCATCTTTGATTGTATGGCTGAGATAGAACACTGAAGGGAGGGGGAAGCGGGGCATCTGCAGGAAGCCAGGGAACTATCCTGCTGTAAGGGTTCAGCTTTTAGCAGAAACAAAACAAGGTCTGATGAGCAGGGATATGGCCTTGTTTTTCTTTTTTTGAGATGGAGTCTGGCTCTGTTGCCCAGGCGGGAGTGCAGTGTCATGATCTCAGCTCACTGCAACCTTTGCCCCCTGGGTTCAAGTGATTCTCCTGCTTTAGCCTCCTGAGTAGCTGGGACTACAAGCATCCATCACCATGCCTGGTTAAGTTTTGTATTTTTAGTAGAGACAGGGTTTCACCATGTTGGCCAGGCTGGTTTTGAACTCCTGGCCTCAAGTGATCCATCTGCCTTGAGATGTGCTGGTATTACAGGCGTGAGCCACAGCATCTGGAGGCCTTGTTTTTTCTTCATCCTTTTATTTCTTTAAAGTTTAGAGACAGGGTCTCGCTGTGCTGCCCAGACTGGTCATGAACTCCTGGCCTCAAGTGATCCTTTTGCCTTAGCTTCCCAAAGTGCTGGTATTACAGGCATGAGCCACCAGGCCTGCCCTCTTCATCCTTAAATTCCCAACTCACAGCTCAAGGCCTGGGACATGGTTGATGACCAATAAATGTCTGCCACCTACCTACAGCTGACTAAGGCTGAACATTATGACTCTTCCAGAAGCACAGTGGGTCTCTCTCTTGTCCAGGTGCTGGTAAGAAACTCAAGTGTAGTACCCACTATGGAAAAACCCCATGTCTGGGGGAAGGAGGTGGGCTACCCCAGGAGGAGAAAAGGCAGGTGACCCCTACTTCTTTGAGCCTGACTATCAGGAGCTTCTAAGAAGTTATTTAACCTCAACCAATAAACTAAATCCGTTCCAATAGACTCAAAACAAAGCTGAGCCTCCACCTGCTCTGCCTCCATTCCCCTAGCCTGGTGAGAGGAGTAGTTCAAGGAAGGTGAGTGTGAGCTATACACCTTAAGTTCCCTCTGATCCTGTCCTTGATGTTGTGGCCAAGTCTTGGGATTCGTTTTCCAGTCCCACTGCCCCAGCCTGGGGGGAATGGTTCTGCTTTTTGTGTATATTTGCAGGGAAGATGTTAACACTTCCTAACAAGCCTTTGTGTTCATGTAATCTCTGCTGTTTAACCTTTGACTCTCCCCTATTATCAGTGTCTGCCACCTTTGCTGGCCAGACCAAAGGCCCCAGGAAGAGCCCTCAGCCTGAGCTGGCTAGGAAGAGGATGAGGCAGGCATTCCATCCTCGGTTTGCAGGCAGATGGATCGCCTTTCCCTGGGGCAGAGCTTTGGAAAATAAAGCAACTTACAGTGCCATTAGGATCCCCCAGCCCCCACTCCTTTTGAACTGTCAGCCTTTAAGTAAACATTCTTTTCCTGCCATGGGTCCCAGTACCTTGGTGGGGAGTGGGGAACCTGGGAGGAGAGGGGCCCTGAGAGTCTCTGTTGAACCAAGGGATTTGGGCAGGTAGGATGGGGGCAGAAGTGCTGCATTGATGTCAACTCTCTGAGTCCCCAGGGCATAGGGGCTTTTGAAGTGGACTCAGTGTAGCTGTCACAAGGACCAGGCCCCTCTGAAGTACTAAAAGCCCCATCCTCCCCAGGCCTGTCACTTGAGTTTGTTTGTACCTGCCTGAGGTGTTTCCCTTCACAGCCCATACAACCTCTGCAGCAGAAAGTGATGCCTTGCCCGAGTGACTGGTTTGGCAGCCCCTGGCTAGAGCCTAAGTTACATTTCCACCAAGGAAAATGCTGAACTGGTCTACTGTGAGTGAGGAGGCCATTCATTGTGCCTTGGTGTAGTAAGCATCAGACCAAGGATAAGGAACCTTACTCTAATCTTGACTCCCATCCCTACTGACAACTGGCTGTGAAACCAGGCAAGGCATTTCATCTCTCTGAGCCTGAGTTCTCTTTTTGGTAAGGGGGGGTCAAATTTCCTGCAAAGTCTAGTTTTACACATTATGGACTGGGTGTTGCTATCTGTTTTTTTTTTTTTTTAAAATAGGCATCATTAATCTCTGAACTGGCACCTGCAGATGATAAGGACCATGTGTGATGTGGAGTGTTATCTTGGGGCCAGCCAAGTAGTCCAGAGGTCCAGCTTCCATCATGAGGAGCATGGTTTGTCCTCTCAAGGAGATTTCTCCTACTGGATATACTTTTCCCTCTGGCCTACAAGTAGAGTCAGGCTAACAAGGCCTTGAAAGGCCCCAAAGTAGCAGTAGTAGTCGAGGCCTTCAGTGGATGGTCCATGTAAATCGTAACAGTAGGGCCCCAGCTTTGGGAGACAGATCTAAATGTCCTTATTCTGTCCTTTGTTGGAACACGTCCTGTTTTCTGGTGTGTCCATGAGGCTTTGGGTGTAGAGGAGTCCCAAGCTGCTTGCGCTGTTTGTGTGTTCCAGGTTTCTTCTGCTTGTCTTTGGGAGACCCAGCTCTGAGGTGTGATTAGACTATAACCTGGTCTAATCACAGAGTTATGACTGGTTCTGCTCTTCTGACATTGGACTGGACATAAGGCTTTCATCCTATGTTTTCTTGGGCCACTGAGCTCTAAAATACTGGTGTTATAACTGGTTCCCTTCTCCCTCTTTGCGTGTGTGGGAGAACTGGGTAGCAGCTAGGTGGCAGAGGGCCTGATGCCTAGCAGCTGAGTCACCTTGTGGAGTGCCCCAATGGTCTCTCGGTGTCCCCACAGGTACTACAAGAAGTTCTCCATTCCTGACCTAGATAGACACCAGCTACCTCTGGATGATGCCTTGCTGAGCTTTGCCCACGCCAACTGCACCCTGATCATCTCTGTAAGATTCACCTAGACTTCTTGGACACTGCATCAGCAAGAGTCTTCCTCTTTCCCTGCCCACTTTCCATCCCATAAGAGTCCCCAGTTCTAGCCCCAAGGCCTAGGGTATGCTTGTGGGATAATAGGTATCTCTGATTCAGCATGGGGGAGAGCAAGGAGGGGGCTCAGGGAGGAGCCTGACCATATAATTCACAGCTAGACGAGGGTAGCGGCTGAAGGGGGAGCGTAGGAAATTGCTGAACTTGGGTACTGGTCCAAGGTCTGCTCCTACCCAGGCACATGACCTTGAGCAAATCATTCAACCATATAGGGCTCAATTTTCTAGTGCAAATAAGGGGATCAGAAGGGGCCCCAAGTGTGTGCAGAGGGAGAAGGGACAGTGACTGAATTATTTTCTTTTTCCTGGCTCCATCTATAGTACCAGAAGCCAAAGGAGGTTGTGGTGGCTGAGTCTGAGCTACAGAAGGAGCTAAAGAAGGTAAAGACAGCCCATGGCAACAACGGGGACTGCAAGACCCAGTAGTTAGCCCCTGAGCCTTAACACCTCTAGCATGGGGGTGCCATGAGACTTCAAGGCTTGGCCCTTCTTGGCCATGGCAGCCTTCTCTCTCCTAGGAGCTATCAAGGGTCTATAAGAACTGGGCCCTGGGGCATTCCCAGCCAGTGAGTCATGGTCTTCTTTTCTGAGTAAAATCATTATGAGCTACGAACTGCACAGGGACTGCCTCTTGTCCACCTCTGTATGCTGCCTGGCCCCAGACCCCACTGGCCTTCCTCAGGAGGGGGTGGTGATGACATTCCCTTTTCTAACCCAGGGATCATCAACATAAAGCCTTCCACAAAAAGGGAGGAGAATAGGGTGGGAGCACATGACCCTAGCAGGGCAGGGCTGGCCTTTCCCCACAACCTGTTGACACAAACTCAGAGGAAGACCAGTCTGGAGGGACCTTGTGCTACCCTAGTTTGCAGAAGTGGCTCAGAGGAAACTCCTGAAGATAGATATATGCCGCCAAGGGAGAAGTTTTAAAAATGCAGAAACTGGCTGGGCGCAGTGGTTCAAGCCTGTAATCCTAGCACTTTGGGAGGCTGAGGCAGGAGAATCACCTCAGCCTGGGAGGTGGAGGTTGCAGTGAGCCAAGATCGTGCCACTGCACACTCTAGCCTGGGCAACAGAGTGAAACTTCATCTCAAAACAAAAAATGCAGAAACCTTGGAAATAGAACATAGGATGTTAAGGCATTGTGGGTAAAAAGCCAAAATAAGGGTCATAGTGTTGCCAAGGGTGTGTGTTGGGGTAGGGGTCACCACAGGTAACAACTAAGCTCCCAGCAGCCTGGACCCTTTCCACACCCCAAATGCTATGGGGTAGGTTGTCCATGGGAAGTCTTCCTGAAAAAGAAACCTTTGGGACACAGAGACATGAGGCTGGTCTTGCCATTTCAGCAGCACACACAACCTTGAGCTGGGGTCTGCGGTTCCCTTCTCCTGGGGCCTCCTAGAACTACTCAGTCAGTGAAGAACCAGATTAACAGTCAAGCTTTATTTTTACAAAAATGAAAATTGTAGCATGTCTCCACAGCCAGCCTGAGGTAGGGCTGGCTCAGAACTCAATCAGAACCGCCCTTTCTTGGTTTCAAAGCAAAACCAGGCCACAGTGCCCCAGGAATGAACCCCCAGCCCCGAGAGGATGGTCAAGGGTGAAGTCTGGCTGGTGCCAGGGGGCTATTGGCAGCCTCACCTTTCCGTCTATGAAGGGGCAGAAAGGAACCATTTGGGAAGGTGGGAGCTCCTCACCTCTGCAGGCTGTCATGGCTCTAATAAGGGGTGTAAGATGGGCCTCTCCAGAACGCAAGGCCCCGGTTCAGCCGTACTCCTCTAAAGCAGCAGGTCCTGCCTCTCTAACAGATTCCTGGGAGGGACTGCATCTCTGGTAAGCTCCCAAGCCCCAGGAGTCAGAGATTCTAGGGCAAGGTGCCCAAGCACTGGGGTCACAGGTCCAGGAGCATAGTGGGGCAGTGGGAGAGTTATCACTGCATCCTCCAAACGAGAGGTCCCTGAGTAGCTGGTTTCCCTGGCCCGTAGGCAGGGGTGGCCCTGATGGTCATGGGTTTTGAAAATCCAGGACATGGAGGTTGTAAGACAGTGCAGCATAGAGATGCTTGGTGGTGAGACGCAGGCAGTACACAGGGCTGCTGAGGGGGGTTGACGTCAGCGGGAAGGCCTGGAAAGGAGGGCACAGGAAGTGGTAAAAGCTTTCTAAGTGGGACGTGGGTATGCCCTAACCCAGGATCCCCAGGCCCAGGGAGATAGGCACATGTGCCACTGTAGGCTTCTTCCAACCCTTTCTAGGCACATCCTTGGCTACCTCACCTTCTCCCAGATGCAGCCCATAATCATGAGTCCTGGCATCCTGGAGAAGAGGTGGGCAGCACACTTACGTGCAGGCAGGCCCTTTGGCGCCGGTCCCACAGTCGTACAACACCATAGTAGGAGGAACCTGTGGCCAGCAGGTGGTTGCCATCTGTCTGCAGGCAGTACAGGGTGCTGTCGTGGGGCTCCTCCCACTCCATGACACATTTCCTGTCCAGGAAGAGGAGATGCAGAGGGAGGTTTAGGGTGCCCTCCACTTCCACCCCAGCTTTCTTGAGCCTAGAGTGGCTGAGGAGAGTGTTAAGGAGCCATTCCGGGATAGAAGAGAGAGAAGCCTCCATCATCATCAGATTTGTCAAACACTAAACTTCATGGGAGAAAGCACCTTCTGTAGAGGGCTCTCGCCATGGCCCAGACCACAGAGCAGATGGTGCCTGCACGTGTTTTCACATGGCCAGCTACTTGTCACTGGACTCATGAAGGGGAGAAGCAACACAGGCCTCAAGAAAGGCTGGGACAGATGTTGAGGGGCAGTACCCTGATGGCTCCAGAGGCTCTAAGAAACGCCTGCCTTTGTCAGGGCCTGTTGGCTACAGTTTCCCAAGCCACTGGGACCAGGGCTGCCCAAGTGTAGGAAGTCTAATCTTGGCATGACCTTGCAGGCCTCTTCCTTCCCAGCCCCAACATGGAGTCTCTGTTCCCTCTCCCATGGGCCGACCCAGGACTGGAGGAAGGACCGGGTTTGGCACAGGGCCCCCGCCACCTGTCCACCCTGCCCAGCACACTCACCGGACACTGGTGCGGAGGTCCCAGTAGCGAACGTAGGTGTCATAGCCACAGGACAGCAGTGTGAAAGGGGACTCATACATGACATCCAGCACCCCAGCCCCTGGGGGAAAGTCACTACCCAAGTGTGTCATCAGCTGCCCACTGGAAAGGGAAGGACAGAGTGAGAGGCTGTTTCACGTGGGCCATACAAATTCGTTCAGCCTTCAGAGGGCATCAGAACTTGGGCAAATGTGGTTCTCTTTCCTCTGCCAGAATGAGACTCAAGGAAGGGGGCCAAGGGAGGAGATGCCTGATTCCTACACACCTCACCCCCACCATGAGGCCTCTGCAACAAGTCCTGGGCCCCACCCCTCCCCCAGCAGCCCCTCCATCACACCTGCCTGCCGGCTGCCTGCCACGCAGCCACTCCTCCTCAGGACGATGAATGGCCCTTGCTGAAGGAGTTGGCCCTCCTTTTACACACACACACACGCACACGGTTGCTTTATACTTCTTGATCCTGCAGGTCATGCAGTTTTGAGCTGCCTGAGTCCAATGCCTTAATTCCTGCCTGTAATCTGGGGCTCAAACCTCACTGGGGATAAAGACCACACAAAGGGAGAAGGGGAGTCCTAGGAGATGTTAAAACAAGTAAACACCTTTGTGTCTGGGGAGAGAAATCGCTGAGAAAGCAGCTTAGCAGGCTGTCCCTGGTGTTCCTGGCCTAGCTGGCCCCCAGCCCGGGGCTAGCATGCCTCTGTGATCACAGCCCCCAGCCTGCGGGGCTCCAGCCTGCTCCCCCGACCCTCACCCTCACCCCACACGGTGGCTGAGAGCAGATTACTGAGAAGAACAATTTCTTTGTGACTGTGTAATTCCCTCCGTGACCGCGGCAGTGGGCAGACCCTTTGCCCTGATGCCAGACCCCTAGCAACCATGTAGGGGGGCCTCCTGTCCCTAGCAACTACCCCTCAACATCAAGTGCATCTGCTAATCCCTGCGGCCAGGGGATGGGTAGAAGTATTGAGTTTCCACAGAATGACCAGGGGGAATGAAGGAGAAGGGGCACCCTCCAGGCCTGATGCCTCAGCTTCCTTTACCCATGAGATGCTGGGCTCTCCCCATGCCATGACAGGAGAAACAAGGCCATGGACACTTCACAGTGATGTCCAGGTAAGAGGCCCTGGCATGGAGTGAGGGGAATTCATGGCTCACCAGCCCAGCTTGGCCCAAGCAGTATTTCAGCAAAGGGCTTGAGGCAGACAAGGCAGCCAACCACATGTCTGACTGCAGATGGCAGCTCCCGTCCCTCCACCTCATTCAGACTCTGACCCACAACCTCTTTTCTCCCCGACAGAGCTGCCATCTTCCCTGAAGGCTGAAGGAGTCATAGGAGGAGACTGGGGGTTCCTTTCTGTCCTCTCCACCTTTCCCTTTGAGCCCCAGACAGTAAGCCCTGGCCAGAAGCACTGCTGCCACTAGTGGGGGATTAAGCCCCAGTGAGCGACCCCTGCCTGCAGCCTCCTCAGGGAAGTTCTGGTCTTCCTCTCAGTAGCCCAGAGCTGGGCCTGAGGGGAGATGATGACAAGCCTCTGTTGGGGGGCTCCTGAGAGGGATCATGCAGAAGGCCCTCTCCCCAGATCTGCATCCCATAGAGACTGCTAACCTTGGCTCCCAGAGAAGCCCTGCCCTCCCAGATGGGCCACCAGCCAAGATTCAGACCCATAGGGGATCAGTCTCTTTCTCAGGTATACTGGGTGCACGGTGGGTAGGGACTGTTTAGCTCCATGGTTCTCCTCCCTCTTCCAGATTTGGGGGCCCTGCCCCCTCCATTAGTGAGGCCTTAAGGAATGATTGAGGAGCTCTCCCCTTTAATCTATAGAAGTAATTTCATGTTTGTTTGAAATAGAAGATGAAAGGCAATGGGGGTTGGGAGGACTGAAGCCCAGCATGGCTCTACCTGCCCACTCTGGTCCCTGGGTTCAGAGGGAAGGAGAGCTGGGCACTCATGGAGCCGCACAGGGACAGCGCCCAACCAGAATGGGCAGCCCACCTGGGCCCTACCCCAGCATTCAAGCCACCACTGGAAAATGTCATGGCCATAAGTATCCGCAGTAAGAAATACAGAACAGCCCAAGGGGTCCCTACCCTCGGGGGGAGACTCAAGAGCCCAAGTAAGCACCACACCCTGGGGGCCAGCACAAACCCCAAGAGCCCCTTGTCTGCCTACACAGCCTGGCCAAGGGCTGAGATGTTTATTTCTGCTGCACTGTTCTCTGGTTCTCTAAAATGGCCACACACGCTTTAAATGGGCCAATAAAAAGATACAATTTCTTTTGCCCCTGGGCCCAGGACCCTCAAGGCTCTGTTGTGTGGTGCCCGTGAGGTTAAGTTCAGAGCATAAACTGACACACCAGGGTCTGGGAAAAGGCCCATCTCTTCAAACAGCGGCCCAGCAGTGCCACAGGGGCCCTGCTGCGGCTTTGATTTGGGAAAACAAACAGAAATGGCACCGTGGGCCCTTCTCGGCCCCCACCCCAAGACCTATTTAACTAGAAAACTCTAGCTCAACTGCTCTGGTGGAGGGAGAGATTGGCCCGACAATAGCCCCAAACTTTGGGGGAAAAGGGGACAAAACAAGCTGTCTGTCTCCTCATCCCCTCCTCCTGGGCTCCTTTTCTTACTGCAAGTGTGTTCTTGTAAAAACGATTAGATTGCAATTTGTATAACGTGGTGACCCCCCAAATTCAGACATTTCACCCCTTTTCTCTGGAAAGAATGTTAAGAATGCTTCTCAGCCTCTCACTGTGGGGGGTGAGGGGGTGCAGAGCCTTGGCTGTTGCACAGCTTGTTTGGGAACAGGGCTGCTGCTCAGAGCCCCGGGCCAAGACAGGAGCAAGGGCCAGCCCATCACTATAGAGGGCCAGACAAAAAGCCCATTCCCTTCCAACTCCCATGGACAAAGCCCAGGCCTCCAGGAGCCACTGAGGGCTGGGGGCCTCTATACCCCAGCCTCCCCCGAGCCCAAGCCCAGCAATTCTCTCTCAACTCAGGGAAACATAAAGACAGATGGGGCCGCCCATGTGAGCCTGATGAATGAAACACAGGCTGAGGAGCAGCAGCCTGAGGGAGACCTGTTCCCTTGGCTCTGGCCATGTGCAGGCTTCTGGGAACCCTCATACCTGGAGAGGAAGAAGCAAGCAGTGTGTGGCCACATCCCTGAGAGGTCAACCCATCCTGCTGCCCAGGTGTCTCCACTGCAGCTGGAGGGAGACAGAGAACTTCCTGCCAGTCAGAGAGGAGGGACATTTACATGAAACGCTGATACCCATCACCCTCTTTGTGGGGAGAGCTAACTGCTAGTAGGGGCTGGCCCTAAAGGATGGTCCATCTGGGAGAAGCCCTGAGTGCTAGACTGGGCACAGGGGGCAGTCCCTGGCACCCTACACCCCTGCCCCCACAGTCTGCAGAGCTAGAAAGCCTGGTGCCCTGCTGCCCTTCTCTCAGCCTTCCCCACAGTGCTCCTGAGTCACCACGTCCCAGCCCACAGTTCAGCATGCCCATGGCTCCCACATCATTTTCCAGTCATTTAAAAAATACTGGGTTCCAGATACTGTTCCCTGGAGACCCTATGGATACTCATTCCTGCATCTGTTTGGGTCTATGCTTACCTGTGCACCTGTTTGTCGTGTGGTACCTTGAAATCCAACAATGGCTTTTGGAGAGAGGAGATGGAAGGGTGACGGCATTTACCTTCTTCCATCTCCTCTGCTGCCTGGGGGACAGATGGCTTGAAGGTATAAGCTGGGCCCAACATAGTCGCAAAGAGAATGGGAGGTTTTCCCCTCCTTTCTATCTCCTCTTTCCTTCAATCAGCAACCATTAATTGAGCATCTTCTGGATACAAAGCATTGTGCTTAATGGAAACTACAGGGAGATGGAAGCTGTGGCTATCAAGGAGACTGCTGCTGCCTTTAAGGAGTATTCAATCCAAGGAGAGAAGTCTGCAACGTGTATCCAACCAACAAGGTGTGAGTTGGTAGGTACCACAGAGAACAACAAAAAGTTCTATAAGTGGGTAGATAAGGGAGCGTTTCTGGCTGGGGGTGTCGACTGATTCTTCACTGAGGGACAGGGCTGTCATAGGCAATGACAGGAGATGGCCCAGATGGCAGGAACAACAAAGGTGCAGTGCTAGGGTAAACAGGCTGTTTTGGCGGCAGCTGGCAATCTGGTTTGGTTGGAGGCTTGGGAGTGTGCTGGCAGGGTCTGGCCTCCAGGCCACAGTGGGCCTTAGGGTGCATATCCCTCACCTAGCACAAACTAGTGGCAGAGAGCCATGAGGCTTTTGAACAGACAGTTATTGTCCTAGTCCAGGCCCCTGATTGTAGATAAGGAAACCAAGAGTCACAGAGGAAAAGTGACTTAATGTCATAGAGCAAGGAAGGGCAGAGCCTGAATCCCTGATAAAGGCAGAGCTCCTGGAAATCCAGTCTGGTAGCAGCTTTCAGGAAGACAGAAGGGCCTGTTCTCTTTGTGTCTGCTGGAGCCAGATGAGATGACTGTGAAGGTTACCTAGTGGCAGAGTAGCCACCACAGCAAAAGCTCATATAACTTGAGTCCATACTGTGCACCAGGCGACATGCTGAGTGTTTTAGTCATATCAGTTCAACAGACTTTGGAGGTAAGTTTCTTAACACCACTTTACAGATGAGAAAATGAAAGCTCAGGGATCGCACACCCAATGTTAGATCAGGTCTATATGCTCTGGGTGCTGGCGCTCCCCACCTTCACAGACAATGCAGCCACTCTCTTGCTGGCCCTTTAACACCCTCTACCTATCCTAAGAGTTACCCAGGGCCACCTCCAGCCCTTTCTAGCTCTTTGCAGGCCTTTCCACCTCATAGATGCCCAGAGGCTTGCCCTCTGGTGGGGTAGTGAGAGAATCAAAAGGTTCTAAAGGTTAACAATGGAGGAACAGAGGTGAGAAGCTTGTGGAAGCTTTGCTTGCCTCAGCCCCATCAGGTGAGAAGGAAGGGCCCTCTCAAGCACACAGCCTCTCACATGCATGTGTCTGTGTGCGCACCCCCAGCACCCACCCGCGCACATGTGTTCAGACACAATGGCTCAAAGGCCAGGCAGCCGGGCAGCCCACTTTGTACTGCTAACAAGGGGGCCGTAATTACAGGAAGGGGCAGCCAGGCAGATAAAAGGATACAAAATTTCAACATCTGTTGCCATAAAGGGATAAGGAGAAGTGAAACGCAAAGTATCAGTTTGGTGTCAGCAGGCAGAGAGCCAATTTCAAAGGGTTCAGGGGGACAGAGGGGACAAGAAAGAAAAGTTAAGAGGGGAGAAAGAAAGAAAGAAATTACAGGGTTCCTTAAAGAGGTAAAGAAAAAAGAGAATGAAAAAAAGCTGTCAGTAATACTTTCAAAGGAGAAGGCAGATACTTTAAAGAGGGGCAGTTCCCGTAATCACCCTGACTGTGGGCCAGGCCCCTGCACAGGGTGGGGGCAGAGGGCCGGGGCAGAGAGAAAGCCACACCTGGGCAGGATGGGCACTAAGTGCCCCCAGAGTTGCCCAGCCCGTGTACAAGACACAGCTTCCTTCTCCAGACAGAATGGGCTCCAGCCAGGTGTCCCTTACCATTCCAAATGTCATTAGATGCCCTGATACTCATTCATCTCCTGTGTTCAGTGCAGGCAACCAAGGTCAGTTCCCAGCTAAGAGGAAGAGTTATACTAGGCCACAGCCATGGCTGACCAGGTGGCCCTTATCAGTGCTCCAACACTGTGTTCAGAGGAAAGGGCCACCAACTCTAGCCACAGGGGTCAGGATCAGGAGAGCTTTGTGGTGGAGGTGCTATTTATGCTGAAGACCAAGCAAGGTTTCATTAGGCACAGAGTGGGTATTCTGGGCATGGCATTGGCTTGAGCACAAGCTCAGAGGGGGAAAATCTAGGGCATCTGTTAGGATGGGTGAGAAGCGTATTCTGCCCCTGCCTTTGTTGAGAAAAGGGGAACTCAGGAACTTTGAGGTGGAAGTAGAGGTGTAACAGGGGACCAGGGATGACCCTGGCCCAAAGGGGAAGGGGAATCAATGGGATGTGTGCAGGGCTTGCCTATGACCACACATACAGGGCAGCATAGAGCCTGGCCAAGGACTCAATACCCTAGGAGCAGCCAGGTCACCAGCCACCTCCCCACCCCCTTTCCCACCCCACAATCCCAGCAGGGCTTAGGGCTGTGGCTGGACCTATTATGACACCTTCAGGTCTGGGATTAAGGCTCTCCATCCTGAAGCCCACCTGCCTACAGCTACCAGGGGCCCAGCTGTGCCCTGTGCTCAGGGCACCAGTGCTAGATCCAGCTCAAATGCCCCTTGGCAGAAAAAAAACCCACAGCAAGCAGCAGCCCATGGGGGAAGGTATATGTGATGGTAGGCCACTCAGACCCACCTGGGCCTTCCAGCCACCAAGAGCTATGCCCCCCCCACACAGCCAACACATGGCACCTTCCCTGGGGCCTAGCCAAAGAAGGGTCTTGTTCAAATGCAGACAGAGAATGCAAGATGAGCTTTAATTCCTCCAGACCCCAGGCTCGGGCAGGATGGCTTTGGCATAGTTCCTCAAGGCCTGATGGGATCTCAGGGCCCAGCTAGGGATACTTCAGTGGTTGGTCAGTCAAGATGAAGGTACGGAATTCCTGGCACTTGGGAGTTAGGGAATGGGCTTGAAGACTACCTACTGTCAGAAGCAGGAAGATTCTGGTACCTTGAGGTTGGGTGAAGGACTCTTTCTCGTTTAGATGGGAATCCCCTGTCCTTGGGCCTAACCCTATGGTGCCCAGCTCCAGGAAACCAAAAGGCAGAAAAAGAGGAAGGGAGAGGAGGACAGCCAAGCTCTTTGCCACAGGCAACGGCTGTGTGCCTGTGGCTGCCCTCTGACCTATGTGCTCCTGCTAGCAATTCCCCCTCCAACCCTGTTCCAGCCCAGCCTGCAAGGAGAGTCTCTAAAGGTCTTGACAGAATGAGGGGCTGAGGGAACGATGGTGATCTTGAAAGGGATCCAGGCTTTGTGCGAAGCAGCAACGGCTACCTGAGGGTGCATAGCTGAGAGACGCACATAGACGTGGGTGATGGCTCCCCTGATGGGAACACTGGTGCCCAATGGGTAGCTACAGCTTTGAGTGTCCTAGCCCCCACCATCATCCAGGGTATAGCAATGTTTAGAGCAAATTGCCCCTCGAGTACTCCCCCCCTTCACCCAAGCCCCAGCACATACATAAAAGAGAAAATCCAGGCGCTCCTCAAGTTTCAGCAGTGACAAGTTAAAAGCAAAGAATCCATCCAGCGTTGCCCACCGCCCAGTCCCAAGTCCTGCCGGCAATGCTGCTCCACCTCTCAGATTGGCCTGTCAGTCAGGCTTTGGTGTTATTGAAAGATCAAACTTTGTCCTGCCTGTTCATTACCTTAATCCTATTTTCTACATGGCTTTATTATCTACTTGGGCTTCTCTGGGAAAGACAGCTCTAGAGAGTCATCTTGTCCATCCATTTCCTCCCACCAAAAGTAAATGCCTCCACCAGGGCATCTTTCCTCAACTGCTGTACCACTTGGTCCTCCAAGCTTCTCTTGGGGACAGGACAGACATTTAAACAAAAACCTCCCAGTAGGTGAACCTGGGGGCTGGAGAGAAGGCACTGCCAAGTGATGCCCAGGGCAGCCCTGCCACAAGAAGCAGAGCCCACAGGCTGGCCAGAGGGGGCAGGGCTGTTTCTTCTCAGGCTCCAGGAAGGACTGAGGCCATAGCTGTTTTTTTGTTGTTGTTGTTTTTACCTTTTTTTTGGTAAGAAACAAGTTCTCGCTATATTGCCCAGGCTACTCACAAACTCCTGAGCTCAAGTGATCCTCCTGCCTCAGCCTCTCAAAGTGCTGGGATTACAAGCATGAGCCACCCTGCCAGGCTTATTGCTGTCTCGTACCCATTCTCATTAGGGTCCATTCTGGTTTCAATAAAGACTCGGTGTTTGGAGTTAGTGAGATCTAGGGGTTTCATGAGAGAATGACAGTCAAAGAAATAGTGCCTTAGAACTCCATCCTGACCATAAATCTATACCAAGGAGTACGATTCACCAAGGCAACCATAGGCAGAAGAGGCCATTCAAAGATTACTCAACCTTTGAGATGATGCTGGGTCATGGTGGTGTACCCAGCTTGTGTGCCATCCTGGGCCCAGGCAGGTGATGATGCCAAACACAAGGCCCAGCTATATGACCAAGTACAAACTTTCATCAGAATGCCCATCTTTGTGACCAAAGCCCACTGTCAAGAGCCTGCTCTGTGCCAGGAGGTCAGCAGATTCATCTCCTCCACTAGTCACTAAGACACAGATATTTTGAGAATTAAAAGCCTCCACAGGCTAGGCAGAGTGGCTCACACCTATAATCCCAGCACTTTAGGAGGCCAAGGCAGGAGGATCACTTGAGCCGATGAGTTCAAGACCAGCCTGGGCAACATAGCGAGACCTTGTCTCTATAAAAAAAATTTAAAAATTAGCCAAGCATGGTGGCACATGTCTATAGTCCTAGCTACTCAGGAGGCTGAGGCAGAAGGACCATTTGAGCCCAGGAGGTCAAGGCTGCAGTGAGCCATGATGTAGCCACTGCACTCCAGCCTGGGTGACAGAGCAAGTCCCTGCTCTCAAGAAAAGAAGCCTCCACAAACTCCAAGGTACTAGTGTGGGTGAGAAGGAAGAGCGGGAAAGAGCCTGCACTGGTCGAATGCCTCTAAGGTGAAAGGCACTATGTGGGAGACTTTTTCACAATAATTTTGTTCATCCCAGTTCTGTTAGGTAGGGATAATTAATTTCCACTTTACAAAAGTGGAAACTGAAGCTCAAAGGGCCCCAGATCACAGCAGGAGGCACAGTAGTTCTGGAAGCCAGGTCTGTCTGGCCACACAGCCAGTGCTCCCTCCAGAGCTCCTGACAGCCTCCCATCACACTGGCCCTGGCACCAGGGGAGGGGCTGCCTCTGCCCCAGCCCCATTCAGAAGGAAGGAGGGCCAATGGCAGGAGTTTGGCAGGGTGAGCTCATGGGGAGCAAGTTTCACAGACTGTAGGAGCTCCAAAATCCCAGGGGCTAAACAGCAGAGGAGTCCTGGGAAGTTTCAGCTAGGCTAGCAACAGTAGGGTACAACTATTGGCTATACTAACAAAAGTAGAGATTTAAAATGAAGGAGGTGCCAGCATCTACCACTTGTCAGACCACACCTGGTCTATTCAGTAGTCAGTTAGGAACACGTCATTTCAAGAGGGATAAAACCAAATAGAGAAACCGTCAGGTGAGAATGGTCCTGAAACCACTATGAGACCAACACTATACAGGTCACCTATATAGACATTCCTCATATTCTTTCTAGCCAAACAAACCCTGCTTCTGTACCACCCCCCACCTTTTGCTACTAATGTGTAGGGGCAGGGGCGGAAGCTGAGTTCTTCCCCTGGCCCAGGAAGTGAATCTTGACTGGTCATTCCATTCCCCTTGCCAGGGTTTGGTTTAGGGTTAAGTATACTGGAATACAATTTTGACTATTAGATGTGAGAAGTCTGCTTGGAAACTCCTAAGAAAGGCTTCCTCATATTAAAAAGGGTCCCAGACAAGGACATATGGCTATTCCTATTTCCCTGTGAGTGTTGCCTGGCGAGCTGGTAGAGCAAGCTCTACACAAATCTGAGAGCAAAAGCCACCTTGACCAGGGTGGCAAAGCACAAAGTAAGAGAATCTGGGCCCTCATGGTTTCACTGAGCTACTGAACGATCAACCCTGGAACCACCCAACCACCTAACTTCTGGGCTCCTTGTCATCTAAGATAGTAATAATACATACCATTGTTGTTTGACCCACTTTTTTGTTTTTTGGTTTTGGAGACTGTCTCACTCTGTTGCCCAGCCTGGAGTGCTGTGATGTATGGGCCAATGCACCCAGCCTGTTTGAGCCACTTTGAATTAGGTCTTTGTTACTAACAGCCGAAGGCTATGGCTAACTTATCTACTGTGTTAATGAGGACCTAGAACTTTTGGCCTGGAGCAGAGGAGGCCCTAGAAGAGCAGAACCAAGGTTTTCAGACGTTTAAAGTCTGTTCTTCAGGAAAGAGGTTCAACTTGCTTGCTTCTTGCCCAGGATCACAGCTTCAGGGAGCAAATCAATCCATGATAAAGGGTGGGCATTCTTACTCACAGAGCTATCAGAATGGTTGTTTGGGGAAGTAGGGAGTTTCCCATCCCTGTTCTTGGATGACCATCAAAAGAGAATGTTGAAGGAAAAAACCATGATTCATTGATTAAAACATCTCATGTTATTTTAAAAATTTTTGGAAAGACTGACTATAGAATGGATTTAAAAAAAAAAAAGGCTATGGCTAATGCTTTCCTAGGGAGTTGGAGAAATATGGAGAAGACAAAGCTAGAGCAACTGAGGAAGCAGCTGAGAAGAGCATCTTCACCAGTGCTGTCAATTGTGACACTGAAGACACAGACTGTGGGGCCTAGGGCCAGGTGAAGAGTTCTTAGACTTGACACCAAAGGCATGGTCAATAGAAGAAAAGTCAGTAATTTAGATTCCATCAAAATGTTTAACATTTGCTCTTCAAAAGACCCTGTTATCAGGATAAAAAGACAAGGTACAGATTGGGGGTAGATATTTGCAAACCACACATTTGACAAAGGACTAATATCTAGAATACAGAAATAACTGTCAACACTCAATGGTTAAAAAAAAAAAAAAAAAAAAAGCAAACTGCTTGCCTCCACAGCACATATCCCAAAATGGAAATGATACAGAGAAGACTGGCATGGCAAATTCATAAAGTGTTCCATTAAAAAAAAGCTAGCAAGCAAAAGACATGAACAGACATTCTCCAAAGAGAATATTCATATATGACATCTATGGCAAATAAACACATGACAATACGTCCAACATCATTAGCTATTAGGGAAATTCAAATTAAAACATGATGAAATATAAAACCTTTAGAATAGTTAAAAAATAGAAAGTAGTGAATCCAGTCATCGTGGCTCACGCCTGTAATCCTAGCACTTTGGGAGGCCTAGGCAGGTGGATCAACTTGAGCCCAGGACTAGCCTGGGTACCATGGCAAACCCATCTCTTCAAAAAACACACAAAAAATTAGCTGGACATGGTGGTACACGCCTATAGTTCCAGCTACGAGGGAGGCTGAGGTGGGAGGATCCCTTAAGGCCAGAATTTCAAGACCAGCCTGAGCAATATAATGAGACCCTGTATCTCTATAAAAAAAAATAAATAAAAATTGAAAAAAAGAAAAAAATACTGAAATACCAAATGCTAGTGAGGATGTGAAGAAATTAAGATCTCTCGTACATTGCTGGTAGGAATGTAAAATGATAAAGATACTCCAAAAAATAGCTTGGCAGGTAAAAAACTAAGCATATACTTACCAAACAATCCAGCAATTGTACTCCTTGGCATTTATCCCAGAGAAATTAAAATGTATGCCCACATAAAAACCTGTACACAAATGCTGGTAATAGCTTTAGTTGCAATAATCAAAAAATTAAAAACTGCCCAAATGTCCTTCAATGGGGAAAGAAACTTTGGTATATCCATATCATGGAATACTACTCAACAATAAAGAGGAGTAGATACATGCAATCTATGGGTCTCAAGGAAATTATGCTGAGTTTTTAAAAAGCCAGTCTCAAACAGTAACATACGGTATGATCCATTTATATAACATTTTAAAAATGACAAAATTATAGAGATGGTGAACACATAAGAAGTTGCCAGAAACGGGCTGGGCGCGGTGGCTCACGCCTGTAATCCCAGCACTTTGGGAGGCCGAGGCAGGTGGATCACAAGGTCAAGAGATTGAGACCATCCAGGTCAACATGGTGAAACCCCGTCTCTACTAAAAATACAAAAAATTAGCTGGGCATGGTGGCGCGTGCCTGTAATCCCAGCTACTCGGGAGGCTGAGGCAGGAGAATTGCCTGAGCCCAGGAGGCGGAGGTTGCGGTGAGCCGAGATTGCGCCATTGCACTCCAGCGTGGGTAACAAGAGCGAAACTCCGTCTCAAAAAAAAAAAAAAAAAAAAAAGAAGTTGCCAGAAACTAAGTCCAGTACTACAGCCAGCCTGGCCCGCTGGCCTCAGAGGACTTGGGGAAGAAGAGGAGAGGATAAGAATGGGTATGACTACCAAGGGGTATATGAGGAATCTTTGTGCTGATGGAACAAAGAGTTAATTACCTCAATTGTTGTGATGGTTATCTGAATCTACATGTGATAAAACTGCATAGGACTACCTACCTACCTACCCACACACACACACACACACAGTGCAATCTGAATAAAGGTCCATTGGTACCAGGGTCTACTTCCTGGTTTGATTTATATTAATTATATTATATTATTTATTATGTAAGATGTTACACAAACACCTTTCCATCTTATTTTTGTAACTTCCTATGAATCTATAATTATTTCAAAAGTTAAAAGTTAAAAAAAAAAAAAAACCAGAATGGTAGATAATCAGATGGGAATATGGTAAAGCCTGCCAAGGCAGAGAATTGTGAATAAAACCAGCACGTATTTTAACTGTTCTGTATAATTCCTTTTATAGGTCTGTAGGCCACCTTCAAAATTTCTTTATTTTAGCAAAATCATCCCTGGGGATAGATGGGATATTATATAGCCACATAGGCATGCCTCAGAGAAAGAGTATCATAAATCCAAATTGTTGTTGTTATCATAAATTCTACATGAAACAATTACTTCAACAGTCTCCTCCAGCTAACCCCAAATGATTCTATGTGAGAAGGCACCACAGCACTAGACCACTTCCCAGCCTCCTCCTGGACCACTCAGCCAATCGAGGCAGAAGCTGGCTTAGCAAGCTTTCCTTTGCCTCCTGGGCTGGAAGCCAGGGTGGGCTCAGGAATCTCTTACCTGTTGAGGTCCCAGATTCTCAGGGGTGAGAAGTGACCGCAACAAGCCGTCCCTGTCACAAAAGAGCTGCCAAACAAAAGGAAAGCAGAGTCAGATCTGGCTTGTCAGAACCTGCAGTAGAAATAGCTAACAATTGGAAATGCCATGCTCATTCCCAAGGGACTGTGGGGTTAAGCCAGAATGAGAGAAGTGGCCAAGGGAACCATCAGAGGAGCTGTGGGAAGACATCTTGGAAGACTGTGAGGGTGTGGCCCCCCCCCCAAAGCTCCCCAGCCAGAAGACCCACAGGTTCAACCACAGCTGGGCCTGCTGCAGAGGCTGGGTTGAGTGGTCTCTGCACACTATAAAAACAAATCTGTAGATACAACAAGTCTGAGCCCAAGGGAGAGCGAGCCTGTCAGACTCCAGTTGTAGGAACCCCAAGAGCATAATGGCAGGGCACAGAATAGGGGTCCAAGGAACAGGTTGCTGGGGCTGGAATGTCATGCCCTGGTCAGAAGTAGGGGCAGCTGGGGGGAATTCCTGAAGGTTCTATGAGTTGGGAGAATCTGGTAATGTGGTACAGGCACAGAGCAGGTATAAAGGCACCAAAATGAGAAAAGGAAAAAATATGAAAGCTGAGTGAATCCCATGGATAAGTATATGCTAGTCCATAGGTGGGGCAGAGTGGGGAATGAGAGGAGCCAGGCAGCTTCTGCAGAGTGGGATGGGAGTCCGGCAGAGTCCTCTGAGGCTAATACCAACGCCAAGAGGCACATGAGACGGAGCAGGCTGACCCTGTTGCCCAGAGTGTCCCTTAGAGCCCTAAAAACCTCAACATATACAATCTGCAGAGTCTCACTTTAAACAGAGGCACAAGCCTGGTGTAAGGGATTCATGCAGTGGCCAGGCTGGCTGTAGTACTGGCCTAGAACTTGAACCTGTGAGCCAGAAAACTCTTTTGTTAGAGGATTTGGTAAGGTAGAGAGGGGAAGCCTTCAGGAAACCTGCGCTTGAAAACTTAAACAGCAAGCAAGAGAGTTGAAAGGAGTGGTGTTACTCAGGAGCCCTGGGGCAGGAATGGGCCATGTCCCTACATGTCTTTCATGGGGAGAAGGAAGACTGGACCTACTAATAACACATTAGCAATGTGAGGGAAACAGACCATCCACTGTGGCCCGGCCCAGCACCTGTGGCTCTCTGATCCCAAGCATGTCAGTGAGGAGATGGATTTCCACAGAGAGGGCCCTGGAGAAGCCAGTGGCTTTGGCTAGGGTGGGGAGGTTGGCCTGCCAGTTGCTGATGGGCGGATGTTAGGCAGGCACTGGCCAAACCACTGACTTACAATCAAAATTGTAAGGCAGGTGTCTGCTCTAACCCTAGGCTGATAAAAAGGCCATATGAGCGATCCTGGGCCTTTCATGACTCCAGCCAAGACTTCCTCCAGGGACATGCCCCATCATCCTAGCTTCTTCAAGGCTGCCAGCAGCCACTAAACTATAGAGTGGTTGTGCCAAACAGCCACTCCTGCCATGCCCCAAGTGACTGCCAGCCTGGGAAGCAGCCAGTGGATACTGAAGAATCAAACTACAAAGTTAGGAGGTGTTGCCCTCACCTCCCTCCCCCAACATTTTTCTCTTTAGGGTAATCCATTAATAACTAGTAAAGCCAATTACCTTGGGCTAGAAACATAATAGCCACTTGGAAATCATTCGAACAGGCAATTGGACTCTCCAGACTTGAGGAGTGGGGGCCAGGTGAAGGGCACCAGCATAGACACAGGCATCTCAAGAAGGCCTATGGCAGGCCTCTGACTGGCCACAGGCCTAAATTGGCATCAGGGTGATAGCATCAAGGTAAGTCAATAGAGGGAGAGGGGAGCAACCTGGAACTTTAATCCTGCTGGGAGGTTAGAGCTGTGGGAGTGGCAGGGATGAGGGTGGGGTGGTAATGCAAACCCACTTCCCAGGGACTCCTATCCTCCTCTATTCTGGCCCACCCACATCTGTCCCTGATCATTTGCTGCCAGGAGTGCCCCTCACCTGTCTCTATTAAAAAATATATATATATAGGGCTTTTTTTTTTTTTTTTTTAATAGAGACAGGGGTCTCACTATGTTACCCAGGCTGGTCTTGAACTCCTGGGCTCAAATGATCCACCTGCCTCAGCCTCCCAAAGTGCTAGGATTACAGGCATGAACCACTGGTGGCCAGCCTCCTGTGAAGAGCTTTCTTAACTGCCTGGGTGTGACATCCATAGATGTTTCTTTCTAAAAGCTGCCCTTTTCCCTCGCCTAACCACTGTGAATCAAGGAGGAAAAGAGGGAGAGAAAGTAGAGTATCTTCCTGGCACTGAGGAGGACCTAAGAGTTTAATCAAATTTAACACTCAGTAAAAAACCATCTGAACACTCAAGCAAATGTTGAGCAAACATTCATCAGGACTCATACCCAAACCACGGGGCTTGCCCAGGACTCCTGGGGGTCAGGCTGGCTGCAGACACAGTCCTGTACACCTTGAACTATTCCCCACTACTCGCAGCCATTCTTGCCCCTACCCTCTCCCTTATTCCCATGGTCATTAGGAATGATGAGGCAAAAGCTACAGATGAGCCACACTCAAAGTCAGAAGACGAGAAAGGGTATGCCCACGTGCAATCTCAGGGTACAACAGACACAGGGAGCAGAGGAAGAAGGAATTCACTACTCTCCAACACCCAAAGAGTGTGTCACATCCCACAAGGAGGCCACAAGATAGAAATTATTATTCCCATTGTGCAGACAGTGAATATAAAGCAAAGGCCAAGCTTCCATGAATGGACTTAAAATGCTATGGCTAAACACAGGACCTGTTACCCCCATATTCAGACTCCTCCCACGAGACTCATGGGATGAAGTGCTTTGAAAAGGGGCTGGTGGGGTGGGATCTGTGCATCACAGGCAGCCTCCCTGCCCTCAGTTCTCTAACCCAAACAAAATACCGTGCTCTGATAACCTGTTCAATTTGAATCCGCTAGACATCTTCAACCAGATTCTCGCCACATCCCTCAGCATGCTGGCTCCTGTGCTAGACATGTCAAAGGCTCTCAATAAATACTTGGAGGTTGAGGAAATGAAAACATGCACCATTCCCTCCATAGTCCTCCCAAGGGATTACTCAGTGAATTTTCTCCACTAAAGGCCTTTGCTGTAACTTCAGTTTGGGGTTTAAAACTGATGAAAAGCCAGCTCTGCTCAGAAAAGAAAGAAAATTCAAATGGCTTTTGCCCTCAGTCCCATCTCTTCCCTCAGGAGTATTCCAGGGACAAGGACATCAAATCTGTGCTCAACAGGCGGAGGCAAGAGCTGGTGGCTCCCCAGGTAGGCTGACCATCCTCCAAGTCCCTTCCATATTCATGGGACAAATGGCATTTTTGGTTTATCTTCCCATCTCCCCTTTGAGATCAGAACCCTTTAGAGGCTCTTGGGTACCGTAGTGCCTAGCACAGTGCCTGGCCCAGAGGAGGCACTCAAGACAAATTTGTGGAACTGAACTGAGAGGGCCTTGCAGAGCCCAAAGCGAGCATAGCTGGGAAATCTAGTCCTGTAGGATGTGAAGTTGGTCCCTCTGCTTCCTAAAGAAAGAATTCCCAAATATTAAAGGCTCAAACCTGAATGACACATGACACAGGCATACATTATTAGTGGAGTGAGAAGTCCCGTCTAAGCACCACAACCAGGTAAGAGATGAGAAGTACCAACACAGAATTTTTTTTTTTTTTTTTTTTTGAGACGGAGTTTCCATCCTGTTGCCTAGACTGGAGTGCAATGGCGCCCTCTCAGCTCACCGCAACCTCCACCTCCCAGGTTCAAATGATTCTCCTGTCTCAGCCTCCCAAGTAGCTGGGATTACAGGCATGTGCCACCACACCCAGCTAATTTTATATTTTTAGTAGAGACAGGGTTTCTCCATGTTGGTCAGGCTGGTGTCAAACTCCCGACTTCAGGTGATCCGCCCATCTTGGCCTCCCAAAGTGCTGGGATTATAGGCATGAGCCACCGCATCCAGCCCAACACCTAAAAATTAATGTTAAAACATACACACTCAGACACACTTGTATAAGTACACACATCCGGAGGGTCTAACAGTCATTCTGACTCCATAAGCTCTACTCTTTTGGGACCATTAGTTAAAAATTAATGTTAAAACATACACACTCAGACACACTTGTACAAGTACACACATCCTCTCTTAGCTGGAGGGTCTAACAGTCATTCTGACTCCATAAGTTCTACTCTTTTGGGACCAGAAAGCCCTTACCAGAAGCCAGCCTTCTACAATTTCTCACCCTGCCCCAGACCTTAACCAGATCTTCAACCTGCCTTACTTATCTCCCGGCCCTAGCTCAGGCAAAGCTGGCATCGTACAGACTGTCCTCAGACTCAAGAAGCAGACATCATCGGAGCTGCCTCACCAGAGGAAGATGTCAGGGAATTAAGGCTTGCGTATTCAAGTTGAGAAACTAAAAATAACAAGACATAGAAAAGAGGAGGGCAAAGTTAGAAGGGAAATTAGTTGGGCATGGGCAGTCTGAAAGGCAGGTAGATTCTTGCTGCTTCTGTATTAGTTTAGGCCCTCTTAAAGAATAACACTAGTAATTGACTGAGCACTTACTATGTACCAGGTGCTGAGCACATGTTTCAAAAGCATTAACCTATCTAATCTTCATAACACTATGCAGTGGGTGCCACTTTTCATTCATTCATTCATTCATTTATATTTTTTGAGACAGAGTCTCTGTTGCCCAGGCTGAAGTACAGTGGCTTCATCTAGGCTCATTGCAACTTCTGCCTCCCAGGTTCAAGCAATTCTCCTGCCTCAGAGCCCACCTAGTAGCTGGGATTACAGGTGCGTGCCACCATGCCCAGCTATTTATGTGCTTTTAGTAAAGACAGGGTTTCCTCCTGTTGACCAGGCTGGTCTCAAACTCCTGATCTCACATGATCCACCCACGTTGGCCTCCCAAAGTGCTGGAATTGCAGGCATTAGCCACCATGCCCAGCCCCACTTTCCCTATTTTATAGATGAGGAGACTGAGGCTCTGAGAGG